ATATCGAAACATTAATATTAAAATTCAGTAACACAACATATTCAGTAGATACTTCTTTAGATTCGTACGTACAATAGATATCCGTATTTTGTAGTGAACTTGTTGCCTCCCTTCTAGGGTTAAACACATAACGATCATGATGGGCATCAAACCTATTATGCATATCGTATCATTCTTCCTAAAAAATATGTCAAAGGATAGGTTATATTTCAATTTAAACTTTGTCTCGTAAAAAAGAATAGTATATTTAACTCAATATTTGGCCTACGGGTTCACATCTCTCAACCGTATGGAATCCTGTTCGAGGCAAATTCCCTAGTCAGTCCGCACCATGGTGAAATGATTGTCTATATTATTTTTAATTAAATACATATCTTCAGGCATGCAAAAGGATAGCGTACATGTTCTCATTCCGGCACCAATTATTCCCCGGTTGAAAATCTCGGTTGTCACAGCCTCACAAGACTACACATGTTCGACTTCACTCCCACATTACAGCAGAGCACTCCGCAGCTTTGAGGGCGTGTTAGACGGTTGCATATTCATAGTTTCCGCCATTATCGTATCCATTGTATTGTCGAAGGCTCTAATAAAGTAGATGAGATTTGCTGTTCTCTAACAGTACCAGGAGCCCCAAAACGTACGAGAAGCGAATGCCAGTCAAAAACCAGCTAACTGTAGTAGTGACGCCGTAATGCACTGGTTATCCCAAAAAGAGATATCTTGTGGCCAGGAAACAGCTTGGTTACCAAGAAGCTTACCTTGCATAAAAAGCCCAGTTGTTTCTCGAGTTCCCGTCGAAAACTCGTAATATTGTGACTGTTTCCTTGGGGTGATTTGTATACTTATTGTTGCCTCCAGAGGTAGTATACTGAACTGACGAACGTACTACATGCTAAATAATACATTTGTGCTATGATCGAGTCACAAATGTATTCGTAAGGTTCACTCATTCCTATGTATATATAGGATCCAAACCGGGGAGACACGGATACATTCCTTACAACATGACGATATTCAATTCGGGAGATGTTCGGTCTCGCTATAGCTTAATAGTTGATAGCCGGGCAGTACAAAATAAACCAAAGAACTCTTAATAGGTTGTGACCTGAAGCCGCACTCAGTGGCTTCTGCAGAGGTCACTGGCTGGTACATTTCTATACAAACCATCGTGTTCATAGGCTGCTGTTCCTTCGCTTGTAATTCCATGCCATCTATGAATATGATGCCCAGTGCGCGTTGTATGGTAAGCGTAGTGCCAGAGGGGCTACGGACGGATCAAGCACTCAAGACTAAGAGTATGGGGCAGTATGGGGTGAGCTGTGCGTACACACAACCTCAGGGATATAGTGCGATCAAAACTATGTATTTGTCATATCATAGTAGCGATCCGGCTATGTGCTTGTGAGTGAATCAGATACGTATCGTTCGGTTCGTTGTTTCGGAAACTATCAACTGCAGATGAACCGAGATCAGAGCATCCATCAAGGTTTAAAATCTCATAAACCGGAGTTTAGCCATGTTAAGCCCTTGTGGGTATGATAATCTGATTCCGTCAACAAACGATCACGATATAAGCAAAGGGCAACCAGTCACAACACCTGCTGTTGTAAAGAAACAGTTTAACACTTCAAATGTGCGAAACAATCCAAACCACATAGACTAATTGTTAACACCAATGCTGGGCATAGTTATCATGCGTTCAGTCGTTATCATGCGTTCACTAGTTATCATAGTTTATTAGCTTCTCTCATGAGTCTATTAGTTTATTAGCTTTTCCAGTGGACCCAGTGACTATCCTAGAGCATGTTATTTACAGTATCTATCAGCTGCCTGGTGAACGCGTCGAATGAGAAAAGATCAACAACCCGTTTCCTTCCATTGCGCCCCATTTCTATAGCCGTGTCTCCGTGCAGCACAGTGCGTTGCAAGGCCCTAGCCCAGTCTGTAGACCACGGTGGTGAGAGGATGGTGTATCGTTAGAAATGGACCGGTCCGGAATTCAGAGGAGGGCAAGGAAACAGAATAGAGAGTCGGATACAACAACAGTCAAGATGAAGATGTTCTATTTCAGAAACATGGAAATCAGGAGAATGATTAAATAGGTATTCTGAATTATTTGCGCTATGAAAACTACAAACGCAGATTAGCACAGATACACCTGCAACCCCCCCACCCCTTAAATAAAATAGCAGACACACGGACATAGACACACGGACACAGACACAGACACAGACACACGGACACATACACAGACACAGACACACATCTGCACACACGCACACGTCATGCGCATGGTACACACCAGTAGGGTTGACGTCGCACAGACAGCCAGTTACATTATTCTCCACTGTTTCCAACGGACCACCACTAGCTACGGCTATAACCATCCGCTCCATATACATGGCCTGTGCATGTCAATTGAGTGAGTACATGGATTAATCTCCATGTGCATGGATTGCACATGTTCATTGTTATACGATGATGGGTTTCTCCATATACATGTTCTGTACGTGCTGATTGAATAAGTACATGAATCGATCTCCTTACAACAGTAGATGGTGCGGACTACAGTAGCCTTCTGCCATTGAATGAAACGCGTGCAGTAGATACAACGCATGCGATACACCACTCACTTCACAAATATATATGTGTATATGTATATATGTATATGTATATGGCCATAGGCATTACAACAGCAATCATACAGCAAACAGAAGACCTGCGTTTATGGAATACATGTGTGTTCACGTGGCACGGTAGATTGCTGGGGTCACATGCCTGCACAGGCTTCACGTACCACAACTAGAACCAGTTCAGCGAGGTAAGTACCTAATTCTACGTGACACATGTGCTATTAATATAACAAGCCAAATGCGGTGAATTTCGACACGGTTAGGCGCATGCGCTATTTATAGAATACGCAAAGGGAGTAAATACCTACCTCCACGGGGCAGATGCCGAAGTGTTCGTTGTCAGGGGTGTATAGCAGGCACTTGCACCTGTGTGGAGTAGTGTGGTGATCAAGCAACAGCAGCAGGGTTAAATCTTACACCCTAGACCCTAAACCCTGAAAACCCCCTTTACATTCACTATAGTAATTTGAAGTGGATATGCGAACGAGTTCTGATACTTCCTTGTCCGTGTGAGAACGAACGCAGACAATAGCAACAGCCGCGTGATCACTTATTGTATGGTGTCGGTGTAAACTCTAAACCCCCCCACACACACATACACACTACTACACACACACACACACACACATATATATACACACACACACACACACACACACATATATATACACACTCACACACACTCTCACACACACGTCA